TGACAATGCTTAATGTCATATACAATAGTGTATTATCTCTCCGAGAATTTGAGAGCCTCGGAGAATGAGAAGGATGAGCTGTATCTTCTAAACCGCGGACCACTAGATTATCCTCTAAGGCTTAAGGATGCACAATGTGGGATCCTCAAAAGTACAACACCCACTCCCCTGATCCAAAAAGCCAAAGGGTACAACCCAATTAGTCCCTAAGTCAACGTGTGGACGTAAGCATCCATTGTGGACAAACAAAAGAGAGTGCTGTAAATATTCTCCAGGCCCCTCCCTCTCCCTGGTGGCCCTTCCTCTTAGATTTGCACCTGCCCTGCCATGGGTGGCTAAGAACCACCTTTTACCGAAGGCAGACAATGGCAGCCATGTTACCTGCATTCTCTCTTCAACCTTGACACAATCCTGCAAGGTTTGTATTATTAACTCCATAATATGATTTTAAAAATTGAGGTTCAGAACAGGTTAAGTACAATCCAACGTCACAACGTGAGGGGCAGGATTCAATCTGGGGCCTCTGTGACTCTAAAGCCTGTGCTCTGTTCCGCTTGGTGGCAATGTTGCACCCCCCACACCTCTGAAGACTAGATCAAAAACCATCCAAGGTGCCTCAGGGTCATGATCCTTGCATTCACCAGTGGTTGCTCCTGGGGAATTTCAGGGAACCTCTCTTTAGACTCTGACCTTAGGAAGACCAGCTGTTCTCTGCTGTCTGAAAGCTCTCCTTCCTAGAGAGATAAGGAGGTATGGAAGCGCCAGCCACTTTCTGCAGCATGAAGTCTCAGCATATAAGCTCCGGGCCAACTGGAAACTTTGGGGTACCCAGTACAGTCACAGACCCCAGCTTTTCTGACTTTAATAACTAGTCTGACATTCAGTCCCAACCTGGTTTACTCAGATCAGATTCTAAACCTTTGCTATGCAAGGTGAGCTCCAGGGATCAGCAACATCTTAGCATCCTCTGGGAGCATGTTATAAATGGAGTCTCAGGCCCCAAACAGTCCTACTGAATCAGAAACTGCATGTTAGCAAGATGCTCCATGTGATTTGAATGCACATTCAAGATTTAAAAGCACTGTTCTAGAATCACCTATGGAGTTTTAAAAAAGCGTGAATTTCCAGAAATTAGAGTCCAAAATTACAGAGAAATGGGGTGCAGGAATAGTGGGATGTCCAAATACACCTTTTTTTTTTTTTCCCTAACTAGTTTTCTTGTGGTCTCCTATTCTCAAGAAAACTCAAGTCCTTTCTGGAAGGAATCAAAGATCAACTTTGTTTTGTCAATAGCTGTACCCACAGCCAACAGACAGCTCCCTCCTCCCAGGAGCAGTGTTGATGACTTCATACTAGCCCTCTCTAGGGCGGAGCTCCATTTTCATCCAGTAAATGAATGGAATAATTCTACTTACCAGTTTTCTCCTCTGCTCCAATCTTCTGCCCACAATTCACAGGGAGGTTTATACTATTGTCTCCATATCAACAGCAGAACTCCTATATATTTTCTTTTCTTCTGACCCACTGCCTTAACCTGGTATGGAAGAAGGAAGGAAGGAAATTGGAAGGGAGGGAACAAATCAATATGTATTATATACCTACTGTGTGCCAAACCCAGCTCATCCCCCAAAACAGTTAACATATATTTCTCATTTAACATACATAAAAATATGTAAGATTGGTATTAATGCCCCAATTTTCAGAAGTGGAAACTAAAGTTCAGGTAGGTTAAAACTCTCCCAAAGCCAGGTTTCTAAACAGGATCTAATACTAAAGTTTTGCTGCATTCTTTCTACTACTCCCAACTTGTTTGCACATAACAGTATATAAATAAACATTGTTACTGAGATGTATTCCCATACCATAAAATTCAATTTGGTGGCTTTTAGTATATTCACACAATTACAAAACTGTCACAACCATCTAATTCCACAGCACTTCCATTACCTCAAAAAGAAACCCCAAACCAATAAGCAGTCACTTCTCATTCCCCTGTCTCCCCCCAACCCCTGCACCCTTCCCCTGCCCCCCCATACCCAGAAAATACTTGATCTCTATTAGTGTGCATCTTCTGGATATTTCATATAAGTGCTTTCACACATTATGTGGTCTTTATGTCTGGCTTCTTTCACTTAGCATAATGTTTTCAAGGCTCATCCATGCTGTAGCATGTATCAGTACTTCGTTCCTTTTTATAGCTGAATGGAATTCCATTGTTGGATATACCATATTTTGGTATCCATTCAAGAGTTAATGGACACTTGGGTTGTTTCCACCTTTTAGCTTTAGGAATAATGCTCCTATAAACATTCACGTACAAGTTTTTGTGTGGACAAATGTTTTCAATTTTCTTGAGTATATACCTAAGAATGGAGTGGCTGGTCATATAATAGTAACTCTGTGTTTAATTTTTTGAAGAATTGCCAAACTGTTTTCCAAATTGATTACCTTTCCACTGGCAATGCATGAGGGTTACAATTTTTCCATATCTTTGCCCACACTTGTTATCTGTCATTTAGCCATCCTACTGGCTGTGAAGTGGTATCTCTTTGTGGTTTTATTTGCATTTTCCTAATAACTAATAATGAGCATCTTTTCATGTGCTCTTTGGCCTTTGTATATCTTCTTTGGAGAAAGTACTTGTTGCCCATTTTTAAATTAGGATACTTGTCTTTTTATTGTTGAGTTGTAAGTGTTCTTTATATATTCTGGGTACTAGGCTCTTAACAGATAAACAATCTGCAAATATTTTCTCCCACTATTTAGGTAGTCTTTTTACTTTCTTGATTTGAATGCACCCACCTTGAGTTAATTTTCTAGATGGTATGGAGTTAGGGGTTCAATTTCATTCTTCTGCATGTGGATATACGGTGTTCTAGCACCATTTGTTGAAAAACTATTCTTTACCCCATCAAACTGTCTTGGCACCCCTGTCAAAAATCAGTTGATTATAAACGTATGGGTTTATTTCTGGACTCTCAACTCTATTCCATTGATCTATATATGTCTATCCTTATGCTAGTATGGCACTGTCTTGATCCCTATAGCTTAGTAGTAAGTTCTGAAACTGTAGTCAGTGTGAGTCTTCCAACTTTGTTGTTACGTTGTTTTTTCAAGACCATTTTGGCTATTCTGGGTCCCGTTAGATATAAGTCTTACATTTCTTTTGTTAAATTTATTTGATATTTTTATTGAATATCTTCAAGTTTACCAACACTTTCTCTTGCTAGTTAAAATCTGTTGTTAAGCCCTTCTACTGAAATTTTCATTTCAGTCATCATACTTTTCCACAGCAGAATTTCTGTGTTTTTTTAATCATTTTTATCTCCTTATTAATATTTTTTATTGAGTGAGACATTATTCTCACACTTCCCTTTCACTCTCAAGACATGGTTTCTTTTACTTCTTTGACTATATTTATAATACTTGAGATAACATCTCTGTCTGCTAAGTCTAATATCTAGGCCTCCTTAAGGACAGTTTCTTTTGCTTGGGAGCTGTTTTCCTGTGTACTGACCATACTTTCTTGTTCCTCTGCATGTCTTATAATTTTTTGTTGAAAACTGGACATTTAAAAAATATAATGTGGTCATTCTGGATATGTAATACCCCTCCCTCCCAGGGTTTGCTGTATTTTCCATTGGTCATTATTGTTTGTTGTTGCTGCTAACGTTGTCTGTTTAGTGACTTTTATAAATTAATTCTGTGAAGTCTATTTTCTTTATCATGCATGGCCACTGAAGTTTCCACTCCGTTCCCTTGGTGGTCAAGTAATAAAACCTGAGAATTCAAATTTATAGGCAATTTCCAGACAAGTCACATAGTGAAAACTGTCTGAAATGAGGCTTTTTGGAGAGCTCCAAGCCCACTATGTCTCCTTCCATTGGCTATTTGTTTGCCGGTCTGCAGGGCTCCCGTAGTGGCAAGGCTGTTGGTTTCTTTTTTTTTTTTTTTTCAAAGTTTACTGAGTGATAGTAAAGTGATAGTACAAAGCTCCCAAAGAGGACCCGAGGGGGTTGCCCACAGCAGTTTCTAAGGCTAGTACAGAGGTGTGGTGAGAGGGGTATAAATAAGCCAAGTTAAAACACCACAGTGCTCTTAGTGCTCAATGAGATCCAGCCATTTTTCTTAAACAAATGCTCCTCAGATTTTTGCAAGCCTTTGGTTAATTTCAAGAGTTCCAAAAAAGTTGATTTTGACTGTTTTTGCTAGTGTTCTCACTGCTTTTCTGGAGGAGATTTTTCAGAGGTCCTTGCTTTACCAGTCTGTGAGTACTTCTCTTGAAGAAACATTTATAAATATCACCTTGATTCGATTCTACTTTTTTTTTTTTTTTGGTTTCCTTTCTACTCACATAGTACTCCTTCAGTGAGTAAATCATAAAAATCAGAGAAGAGATATAAGAAAACATATTTTCTGACTTTTTAGTAGTTTCCTTGTGCTATAGTGCTATGGAGGGATGTGTCAGGAGCAAGGTGGACCAAAGCTATTTCTTTCCAGGAAATAAATATAAATCCAAAAGCACACTGGAGACAAGTTCAATAAAGGAGAGCTAGAAAAGGATATGTAATATTCCAAGAAAAGAGAGTTTTTACGCCTGAATTCCTTACAGGGAGAAGTGTGGAGCTTCTAAATGGGCCAGGTACGTGATGATTACTCAACTCTGAATTTTACTTTGCCAGCACTAACCCTTTTCTCAACAGCTTTCTTCAAATAGCAGATGCTGAGATGAATGAGACGCAAAATAGAACCATGATCAATACCTTCCCCTCCTTGAGCAAAACTGGACTTGGTAAAGGGTCATGCTGATGAGTACTGGGTGAGTCACTCCTACTGATATCCTGGACCGAATTCTAGACACCAGTTCATTTTAGGGAGGAGTGGGAAGGAGATTTGCATGTATGACCTCATGCAGAAGCTCCAGCCCTGGAGCATATAAACAGCTGAGTTATAGGTATTACCCAGTACCGGGACCGGCAGTTTCCAAACAGGTCAAGACCATGGCAGTCCTCAGTTCCATGTTGCTGCCACTCGGGCTGTTTCTATGCTTCGGACTGCTGTGTTCTTCTGCCAGCTCTGCAGATGACATTGACAACTGCACGATCTTCAATGAAGTCACCACCACTGGTCAAGGCATCATGGCCAATTCAGATGTCTATGAAAGCAACACAAACTACACAGGTGAGGAGAAGCCATTCTCTTTGTTGTCCTTTGTCTTCTGAGGGGAGTTAACCAGAATTTCAGAGCACACCCCTCCACTCCTGCTTTCAATCACACAAAACATGTGTTTTTGACCCAGATGGGAAGTGGGGGCAGAAACAGAAAGAGAACATGTGTGAGAGAGCTGGTTGGGTGGGACTGTTTCCTCTCTGCTCTCTGTGCAAACCTGAGCCAGAGGTCATTAAGTCCCGACACCCAGGTTAACTGAGCCCCAGCAAGAGCACACCTGCGGCAAGTTCTCAGACTTAAATAAAGTGGGCGTTTTTATTGTTTTCAGGGATAATAAGTGCATCACAGTGTGTGGTCTGTTCACATCCATTTGATAAAACAAAGTCACTATGAATGATAGTATATTGCACATCAGGAGGCACTGTTCGCCTTTAGGGTGTGGGTGGAAACTCTAGTGAGCTAAGCAGGGAAAGTGTTACTCTCCCACCTTGTTTATGAGCAGCCTGCAGCTGAGAGAAGTTAGGTGACAGGTCAGGGCTCCCTTGCTAGTAAGGGGCAGAACCGGCTCCTGAATCTTGGCCTTTCCTTCCCAATACAATGCTTTTCTTCGAGGTACCTCGGAACATTTTATAAATATCCCATTTTGGATCAGCCAAACCTATAAGTCAAGACAGGTGCTTCCTGATTGCTTTCATAACAACAACATTTAATATAGTGGTTTACATGTATTCATGCATTTAGATCTCACAACGTGTTAGGCAGATAACATACCGTGATCATTCCCATTTCATAGATGAGGAAACAGAGGTAGAGTGCTAGGCACTTGCTCAGGTCACAGAGCTAGTTACAGGATGGAGCTGGGATATGAACCCGAGCAGTCTAGCTTCAGACACCCAGTCCTTAACCACTGCACTCTACGCCCCTCACTTACAGTAATGAGAGCTGGGGAGACTTCTTACCATGTGCTAGGTGCTATTCTAAGGGTAAATGCTATTATCTTCCCAGATGAGAACCGCAGCATAGGGGAGTTAAAGTTTTACCCAAGGCCATAGTGGGTAGCCTTGTTAATATTTGAACCTAAGTAACAGCCGAGATTTGTACAGCTCTGTTCAGCCAGGATGTCCAGCTTCAGAGCCTGCTGTCTCATTACTATGTCATTCTGCTCTCCTAGAACTCTAACCAATTCTGCAGACAGCACCAGAGTGATGTCCACACCCATGAACGACAGATTCCAGACTTTGGCAGGAGAACGACGGTGGTCTGCCTTCACACACTTGTCCCAGCTTGTCCTTTCCTTTTTTCATGGGGACTGTCACTAAGGGCCTCAGCTGTGATTCAGATCACTGTATCCCACTCCCTCAGGCAGTGGATCTTGTCCTCCCAAGCCAGGGAGGATAATCTTATAATTCAAGATGAGGACAAGAAGGCATATGTGTGACCTTGCACACGGGGAAGGACCTGGGGGGTTAGAGGGACTGCTACACAAAAGATCACAGACCTCGGACTTAAGATAACATATCACAAGGTAAGGGATTTTGCTGTTGAAATGGAAGAAAAAGATACCTATCTCGTGAAAACGCTGGGTGGAGATGTGTAGCCTGGGGTTCTTCTGAAAGTAGCAAGACAGGAGAACGAACAGCCAAGAGAGGATCCATAAGACCCCTTGAAAGGGAATATGCTGGGTGAGGGGGAAATCAAACATTTGCAGAGGTGTTGGGTAGAGCAAAGAGAAAGGGGTAGGAGGAGACGAACTCCGGTTCACTGAATGCCTACTTCGTGCCAGGCGCTTCAAACTTCACCCGACTTCATCTCAGAGCAGAAATGTGCTAAAGCTCCATGATAAACCAAACCACTAAGTGAATGATTTAAGTTGAGAGTCAAAATCCTACACTCACAGAAAAGGGAAGTGCCAGACTCCACACCCAGGATTACACAACAGGCTCCATGATTTCCTTGTGAGAGTGTCGTTGCAGGACTGCACTGGGTCTTTTGGGGAGACTGGGTAAAGACCCACAAAGGCCAATCAGTTCTCCTTATTTTGATTTTGAAATTTTTTAAATTTCAGGGTTTGGGTCAACATTGGTGAGTCATGTATAAATGGCTTGGCATGTCCCATGGCACACGCACAACTCAGGCAGGATCTTAGAAGAGGTTCTCTGGGTCTGTCTTGGTATCGGTGAAAGAAACCCATGATGCAGTGACATTTATATTAAGATTGTGCTGGGTACGTATCTGCCTCCGTGGGTGAGAGGGATAAAAGGTGCTTGCCTTTTTTCCTGAACCTTCATCTTTAAGGGCGTGGTCCAGCACTGGATGCACTTTTTAAATCAATCAATGAGGAGTCAGTGCCCTCCAGGTCCCCAGCGTTGGGCTGGCTAGATACTGACATGGATGAAACGACAGTATAGAGAACAAGCCAGAATGTAATTAAGTACTCAACTCTGCAGGAACAAATGTAAATATTTCAAGAGTGAGAGGAAGAGAGGGCTGAACAGGCCCAGAGGTGGAACACAGGCAGGATCCTGGAGAGTAAGCAGGGTTGGAATGTGTTATGAGAAGGCAGGGTTCCAGACATGAGCAAAGGCCAGGGGCAGGTGTGGGCCAGATGCATCTGCAGAACTGGAGGGCTGGCTGCCCCTAGAGCAGGAGTGCAAAAAGCACAGTGAGCCAGGTTAGGAGGGTCAAAAAAGCCATGTGTTGGGTACTGTAATCAACAGAAGTGAAAATGTAAAAGCAGAAATGTTTAGATCCTCTAGAAAGATGGGCACTTGGAAGGTTTTGGAGAGTACTTTGTCTTTATGGAAGAGTTGTATGTGGAATCTGATCTGGCTGCAGCCTGAAGAGAGAAGGTGGAGACCAGAAATCCAGGTGACAGATGCCTAGGAGGGAAGGAAGGAGGAAGCCAGTGTGAGAGAGGGAGAGCAGAAGAAATGGCAGAGACAAGAGCATGCCCATGGGAGAACTGACAGACTTGGTGCTATCCCAGGACACCATCACTGAGCACCATCCACCTCACCATCGTGCACACATCTGCAGTTGTCAGGTTCTCAGTGGGCAAGTCAGGCCAGTGGGGTTGCTCAGCCCACCTGATCGGCAAAAACAAACAGAACAGAAATGTTTTGTGCTAAAAAATAGAAATAACAATCACAATTCATCCAACACCCCTCATGTGTTAAAAGTCTTACACTCTTCTCTGTGCTCTTCCCAGGAACCTTGTAGATAAGGTAACATGATCTCCACATCATGAGGGATAAGGTCATCATCCGCAGACATAGGACCAGACCTGGTGTAGAGTGGGCATTCAACAAATATCTGTGGAGTGAGTGATGGACAATACGGAAACCAAGGATGAGAGACAGAATGCCTTGCTCCTAAATGTGAGAGCTAGAATTCTTATCTACGACTGTCTGATCCCCTTGTGCTACAGGCTTGATTTTCTTTGCTTTGTACTGAGAAGTCTTTGAAAGGATTTGGAGTGGCTGACAGGGCCCTGGAGAATAACCCTTTAGCATTGAGAAATTCTTCCAGAAGGGATCTTCTAAGGAAGGAAATGGACAGGCTGAAATGTTCTCTTGAAGTTCGCTCCCTGTCACACATCAGAATGCTAGAATCAGCAAGTGTCCCAGTGGGGTCCCTGTGAGTATACCCTAGGCTACATCAACCGGGAAGACTCACCTGACTGGGGAAGGCCAGGAAACCCTAGGGTTATTGGACAGGTACTGGGGCTCAGAGACCCCACCCCCTACCCTCACGTTCAACAACAGAGACTGAAAGCATCAGTGATTCTGGGACCAAGAAATGGGCTCTGCTTTGACTTGGCACTAAGGATACCTGATGTCATGACACACTGCCCAGGGGGCCCACTTGACCCTTTCCCAGGCATCAACCCCGCCTCTCCCCACCCTGCCTTCCCCCTGAGAGAAGGGCAGAACAGGCTATCCCCTTCGTCTGCTGGACAGGAACCTGGCTCCGGAGGTTAAGAGCCAACCAGGATCTCACCTCTGTTCTACAGCGAAAACCAGGGCCAGAGCACAGGTCTTCTTTTGTTTACCTTTTACTGGAGAAAATTTGGAAAACATAAAAACACACGAGGAAGAAAATAAAAATAATAAGATAATCCCACTACCAAGAAATCACCATAGTAAATATCTTTTATTTCCTTCCAGACTTTTGTCTGCAACTTCATTTAAAATGGGATCATACTATACGTACATTATTTGTAACTTCCTTTTTTCCTGCTAAAGGTTGATTTCATGATCCACATCCCCTGTCTGACTGCACCAATGGCTGATTGGTTCCTTACCCTTTCCTCCTAGTATGGGTTCCCGTGAATGCCAGTATCAGCTCTGTGGTCCTGCGAGCAGTGGACGTGAACAACAACTCACTAGGCCTCTGGGAAAAAGCAGACAAGCTCTGCAACAACAGCGCCCTATATTATCTGGATAACCCGAGTGACCAGCTCTTCAAAGCAAACTGGGTATCTCCTAACTCAAAGAACATAACTACAATCGTATTACAGTAAGAACCTATCTCTGCATGATTTGCTTTGGGCTTTTACAATTGTAGACGGGGTTTACACAGTTTCATGCTGACCTTGGACAATTCAAAATGAACCCCAGACATGATGTGGAGAATTTAGTAGCTGCACTCCTCTCTGCCTCACTACTCTCTGTCCTTTTACCTAAAGGAGTTCCCAGGCATGCGCACACACTCCCCACCCCGACACCCCAGGCAGGCTCAACAGAGACAGAAAGCTCTAGTGTTAGGAAAACCACAGCTGGACGGTGGTTAAAGCCAAACAAGCAAACAAACAAATGAAAAGAATTTATTCGGGACTGTTGCAACAGGAGAAAAGAGACCTCAGGATAGAACCGGGCTCAATTCTGAATACATCATGGGCAAGTGGGAATTTATAGCCAAGAAGCAGGGTGGGAGTCACTCACAGGAAACAATAAGGCCTGTGAGGGGGAGTCTGGCTAAACTGACCTAACAGGATTCTTGCAGAAGGCATGCCAAGGCCATCAGATATTCCCCGGGGGTGGTAGAGGAGGGAGAACTAGGTATTAGGAGTAAAGGGTGGGAGGTACTTGCTCAACTTACTTAGCAGGGTTCTTGCTAAAACCGGATTTTATTTTTTTTTATTTTATTTTATCATGTTATGTTAGTCACCATACAATACATCATTAGTAAAACCGGATTTTACAAGGAAGTGCACAGACAGGCCTAGAAGAAGGTTCTGGAGCCTTTGTCACTGGGCATGCTGTTTGCTTCAAATTCCAGAGAATCATTTTTCAAAACACACATTCATTTTGGAAATGCCAAGTGTGATGATTGTGTCATAAAACTGGCTTCCTAATGTCACACAAAATGGACACACTCAGATTGTGAGGTGAGGCCACCTGGGGGCTTGCATTACACTTTAACGAGAAGACCTTCCTCTCAGCTAGCGATGTTATCCAGGTTATTTTGGGAGCCCATGTTGAGAGACCCTCACACTTTCAGACTGCCACTTTGTACTGAAAGGGCCGGTCTGACCATCAGGCCATGGCCCCTGGTGGTGTCCCCTTGGTGGTGAACAGCCACCAAGTCTCTGTGGACACTGGTGGTGATGATGCTATCAAGCCATCCTGCCTTCTCCTGTCACACCTGGGGCCTGGTTGAACATAGCTGGCTCTGGAGAGGGGCTTTTGCCCACAATGATTTCCGAGAGTGAAAATCCAAGGGAGCTGCTGCACTCCAGCCTCCCGATGATAGCAGTCTCTTAGAAGCCAGCCAAAGCTAATCAGGGCAAAGACTTTGCTTTCACCTCACCTCGTAAAGCCTCCACACTCCATGCAACAACAGATAAAAGGCCCAACAGTAACAACCTGCACAGAAACAGTGCATTCCCACTGACAGTGTAGTCTCCAGACCCCTCCTAACCTGCACTGGCCTCTCTGCTTGTTTGGCCTTGGTCCCCACACCCGAGAAGGGGAGGGGAGCGGCACATATGATGGGGGTACAGAGAGCAGCTGGGTGGGACACAATGGGATGTGAAGAGGCCCCTGCCCACGGGGCTCCACAATGAGTTTTGGGGAGGCAAGGCCTCTGCAGAAATAATGGTGGAGTTTGAATACCAATTCCTCAAGAAAGCATTCCCTAAACCCCTAGGTCAAGTTCCAGCTCCCTGTTTTCACTCCCATAACTTCCACTGCTTTTCCACAACCTATGTCACAACTGCAATCAATTATTTAACTTGCTTACTGATTGTTTTGTTTCAAGTCTGTCTCTCTGAAGAGACTGTAAAGTGCCACAAAGGTAAGAACCATGCCTGTCTTGTTCACCACTGCCCCCTAAGCACCAAGCAGAGACTGGCATGTAGCGCACGCTCATTAGTTAACTGTTGAATGTATGAACAAGAGACTGGGATAATAACGGGACCACGGACAGAAGAACAACACACCAAGCTGTACAGATCATTTAATGAACATTAAGCACCTACTATGTGTCAGGCATTGTGGACAACAGAACCTACCCTCAACGAGCTGGCCCTCCCATGGCGGGATTGGCTCACAGCAAGGCCTCCCATGCAGTTGAGGGGCATTTCTCTCTAATGGAGCTCTGTCTGGGAATGACAACAGGGAGAAATGACTTCACAGAGGTTACTGTTGAGTATCTGGGCAAATGGGACCAGGACAGAGATCACAGGCAGGACTGGCTTGAACAATGACCAGAGGTGCATTTCAGCCTGTGGGGAGTTCAGGGTGCTGAAGTTGGGGGGGCGGGGAATGGACAAGAGCTTGACTGGAGCAAGGCCATGGAGGATCTTAGTCAAGACAATATGCACCCGATCAGTGATGCTCTGCTGATTGTGCTGGAGAGAACACTAAGGTCAGGATCCTCTGGGAAGGCAGAAAAGGGAGCTAGACTTGTGAATTCCACAGCTGAGGGCCTCACCATTATCTCTCATTGATTTGCCCTCCACAGAGCCTTCACTATTGATATCTACAATGTGGCTACATTTTCTTCTCTGCAACTAGAAAGAAAAGGTAAGTTTCTCTGTGGCCTATTTACACATCTGGCAGTGACTCCGTCAGCCTGGAAGATTACTTGGTGGGTGCCCTAGAAGAGTCTTCTAATCATGTGTTATCCAAATGTCAGTTGAATTCCCCAACACCTGAGACCTACAGAAGACAGTTTGACCCCTTATCCTACACCCTGTGGGAAACAAAAGCCATTCCCAAGATTTTTGCCAACTCCCAGGGGCTTTTAATTCTCACAGCCACCTTTGGCTCCAGACTCCTGCTTCCTTGGGAGCCTTTACGTCCAATGCCACATAGATGGATAGGAAAATCAGCTCTTTGTTTGATTTCCACAAAGAATTCCCACACACACAAAGCCTTCCTAGGTATAGCACACTCTAACCAAGGGGCTCAAGGAAAGAGGGGGAGATTTTCACAAAGAAGGCTTGAGAATATAGAAATGCTCATACTTTCCTTAGTTCTTAGAGCGGCCTCTGGCCACTACCACTACCACTACCACCAAGGGTTTCCACTGATTTTCATAGGCTGTTGTCCCCAACTTCCAACATCCCGAAGCTCCTCCTCCTTCTCTCTTACCTCCCTCTAGGGAGCTACAACAAATTCGAGAAACTGAGGAAAGATAGGTAACTTACTGGAGAAACATCTGCCCTGGGGAAGCACTAAATGAGGTAAAACAATGCCTCGTAACTGGAAGGCACCCTCCCACCAGTGGAGAGTGCCTGAGCCTGAGCAAATCACAAGACTTCTCCATTCTTCTTGCATATAGTCCTCTTTGATCCACAGACCCTTGGAGGCATCATTACAAGGCTCCAGTTTTTCCAGAATCAAACTACCCACAGGGCCTGGTTCTCACTGCTTCTCTGCAAGGCAACCTCAGAGAACCAAAGGGTGGTCAGATCCCTGCACAGGAGAATGAGCAGCACCTCTGAAACCACAGAAAGAGATATGCGGGTTTGAACAGGGCCTCTGTGCACTTGCTTTAGAGCGGGGGTAGCAGTCCTCAGGTCTGGAATGATCCTAGTTTATTTTTTTTTAAGATTTTATTTATTCATTTGACAAAGAGAGAGCAGAAGCAGGAGGAATGGCAGGCAGAGGGAGAGGGAGAAGCAGGCTCCCCACTGAGCAGGGATTCCCAACACAGGGTTTGATCCCAGGACCCTGGGACCATGACCTGAGTCAAAGGCAGACGCTTAACCAACTGAGCCACCCAGGTGCCCCTGATATCTCGTTCTTATAAGCTTTACATACAACCTTTGAAATTAGCAAGGAAAAAATATAACTGTGCCATTCTGGATCATATTTGCACTGATTGATCTAATATAACATTAAGGACATGAAGACCTTTGAGGACAGAGTACCCACCCAACAACAAATTCAGTAATTGTATAAACTCCTTCCCCCATAGGATTGTATAGACCTTAAGGGTAGAGAATATTTCTTACTTACTTTTTCTTCCTTGACATTCTGTACTCCCTAGTTTTCCTCCTCCTCTACATATATGCTCGGCCGCTGAGAAGTGTTGACTGAAGTTTGCTCATGAACTCTGGCTCTAGTGTTCCATCAGATTGGCCTCCTTTCTCCAGTGCCCCCCCCAAAACAGGTTCTGATGCCATTGTTTTTTGTCTTTTCCAGACACAACCACTTACCAGAGCTCTACAACCAGGACAAACCCACACCCAACCTCAACAAAAGGACACATCTCCACAACGAGAACAACTCCACACCCAACTGCAACAAGAGAACACATCTCCACAACCACAACAACCCCACATCCAACCCCAGTAACAGAACACATCCCCACAACCACAACAACCCCACACCCAACCCCAATGACAGGACACTTCTCCACAGCCAGGACAACCCTACACCCGATCCCAAGGACAACCAGCTTGGCCAACAGAACCTTCCTCTGCCCTATCACAAGTACCATTCAGATCCTGCTAGTCCTTCTCACCAGCAAACTCATCTCCTAGAAGGAAGCTAGGAAAACAATTGCTCCTGCTTCCACTGCATCCTCCTACGTTCCGTTCAAAGCCAGTGCTCTGATAGGCATGTGAATGAAGACTTTACATTCTCAAATGTGCAACTCTACTGCCACTGCTTTGGACCAAAACAGAGACCTGTGGGTCACTTGGTGGAGGGTAGCTAGTCCACTCACCGGTGGACTTGGGGCACACAGATGTTCAACTGGATCTCTCAGGACACAAATTAGGCTTTTTGTTAGCTGCTTAGACCTAGTCTGGGTGTGACCTGGAATTCTGGCTCTCAGTTTCACATGCTGACAGCCAATTCCACAGCCAATGTAAACTTTTGTTCACTGCCAAATGATTCCTCCACACCTGAGTCTCCGTGGGAAAAACCTTTCTTCACTTTCAAGATGACCTCAGATTTCTGACCAAACCCAGTCAGGTTACACAGAGCTTCTGTGTCTCATGTCACCCAAAAAGGAAAAGAAGAAGGAATAGCCCTGATGTTATTGGCCACACCAGTAGTATGTGAAGGGCTAGAAAACAGGAATGTACCATGTCTGAGCAAACAACCATAGGGAAATATTATGGTATAAAGACATTATTTCCTATGTCGTACCAAATAAGCTACACTTCAAACAAGAATAATGAATGTGTTAAATTCAAGTATGTCTATAATGAGTGATTACTCTAACTTAAAGTATAACATGCTAATTTTATTTGTGTATATGAACATTAAAAAAATTAATAGAATGGTGGGATTCTACTTCTCCTCAAGTACAAACTGGTCATTTTTCCCCTAATGGTAACTTCCATTAAGAAATGGGCAAAATATTTATAGTATTCATAATACAATGTAAAACCAACAGAAAGCATGGGATTTCCAGTAATACCCTGGTAATAAGCAACAAAGTTTTCTTTTAATAATTATGATAAATTCCAGGATGCCAATATCCAGTAACCAGCCTTCCTCTGGGATGGTTTCTGTTAATTTCTTCTTCTTCCCTATGAATAGGCCACACTTTCCTACTTACTTGTAGGTCTTTAATTTTTGTTGAACCCTGGACACGTTGAAGGTTATAACGTGGCGGCTCTGGAAATCAGGCTCTGGAAATCCAGGGCAGCCTGCTGCTTGTTGAGGGCCGCCGTCCATTTGTTTAGGGACTTTTCCCAACTGTTCTGTGCAGACTGCATTCCTTGTTGAGTGTGGGTCACTGACAGCCCTTTCCTGTTATCTCAGCAGTCAGTCAGCGACCTGATATTTTCTTAAATGTCAAAATTTGGTGGCCTCTTTCCTCATTAAGCATTCCTCTAATAGCTGGAAGTTTTTTATTAGATCCTAGAGTGCTGAGAAAGTTCACTCTGACAGTCTGTGCCAGCTTAATGGTTGCTGCGGTGGAGGGACCGATTCCTGGAGCTCCTCATCCTGCCATTTTCTGTGACACGGCTCGGTAGCCACTATTAGTACCTGCCAGGCACTTTAAGTGCATCATCCCATTTAATCGTCACAACAACCCTGGGAGATAGAGTTGTTTTACAGATGCAGACACTCAGGCAGAGAGAAATCATTTGCCCAGAGTTACTCAGGGAGTAAGTCGTGGGGCTGGGTTTCGACCACTTCAGAGCCTGCACCATTAACCAGGACACCCTAAGGCCCCCTGCGTGGCTCCTGCGTCCCCCGGCATCCCCCAGGACAAGTGGCTCCCCAGGGCCCTATGACAAGGAGAGGGTATGGGTGTCTCTCATGGGCACAAGCAGGCTGTGTGCTCCAGCAGCGCTCCTCCACGCGCCACCCTGCTGCCACCTTGGAGATAAACTGCAGTGAGCCCTGACCCAAAAGCTAGGAACAAGCTTCGTATTATCTGTCATGGCCCAGCCTGGAGGCATCTCAGGTTCAATGTGAAAGGTGGGACAACTATTGGAGCCTCAGCAGAAACACTCTCTCAAGCTGGAAAACTTTTAGACTCAGAGAAATCTGGGAGCTGAATTCAGACATGCAGCACAGAGGCAGCCAGACAAGGGCGCTGGATTCGGAGGCAGGGAGCCTGTTAAATTCCAGTTCTGCTACGAAGGAAGAAAGTGACCTTCTGCCTTGGTTTCTCATCTCTTCCATACAGGGTTGGCCCAGGTGGCATCTGAGCACTCTTGTGAGTGGGTCTCCATTTTGATTTCTCTGTCACATCCACACCTAGTTCTCAGGGTCTAGTCAGAGATGTTAAGTTGGCGTTGCTCTATGCCCTGCTGATCGGCAGAGGCCTCCCAGAGCACTGCGGAGGATTTGGAAGCGAAAGCCAGGCTCAGACGCAGATTGACGTATTCAACAAGGGTTATCTTCCTTGGACTCAGGAGGCCGCACTTCCTCAGGAGGCTTCAGGTTAGCTGCCGTCTGTGGTCTCTCGAGCGAGTCCAGGGAGCGGCCATCAGAGCAAGGAAAGGGATAAACAAGTACGCACGTTCACAGTCTAGGAATAAGCTAATCCTGATCCTCGCTGATGGCAAGGTGACTCACCACAAGGAAAACAAAGGCATTCGGGAAATTCGAGGAAGACCCTGGGCTGCACCTCATGCACAGAAAAGAGGTGAACAAAAGATGGACTGTTTCCACTCCCACGTTCACTTGCCCAACCTCGTTCTTCCACTTCTATGTTTTCTTGTTTGCAGCTTCATGTTTTGTGAATTCGATGCATACTTATCCTGTGTTAGAAACAGCAGTTGCCCACCCGTTTACAGGAAGGGAGTGCTGAGGGAGTAGGAAAGAAAACTGCTGTCTTCCTAATCCCATTACCTCAAAGATCTTCACATACCAGAAAGAGTGCCAAGCCTGGTCAGTGGTCCAGCTATCCCACTGACTGTTCAGAGCAGGGAAAACATTCAGAACAGGCAGAACAGGCAGACATTATCTTATTATCTATCAACCTCCACATTACTTTTGAAAATAAACGTTGAAAAATACTAATAATTAAGTAAAAAACTTAATATTATTTCACACAAGAGGTAGTTTGGCAATTGTCTTAAAGCATAAACTCTGAGGCCAGACTGCCTGAGTTCAATCACATTTGATTTTACCCCTTATTATTTGTGGGACTTTGTAAAGTTACTTACCGTCTATGTAACTTGGTTTCTCCATCTGTAAAATAGGGAGAAATATAGTAGCTACCCATAGGCCATTGTGGAGATTAAATCAGTTAATATATATAAAGCATTTGGAACAGTACCTGGCACAAAGTAAGTACTACTTAATTATTTAAGGCCTAAAAAAGGCATCACAAATGATATATTGATGTATAAGAAAGCCAAGTATTGTACCCATATAAATATTTGCAGATAAAATGGTACCTATAACAAGGACTAAAAGTACTAACTTGTAACTCTTATAAGAAATGGCTGTCTGACTTTCCAGTCTTCCCACCCGCCCGCCCCCAGCCCCACCTTCGCCACCCTTCAAGCTTCTAAGTAAAATGTCTCCTTGCGTGCTGGGTCAGCTCCTTTCTTACAGAGAAACTAAACCGTGGGTGAGGGGTTGAATTATTCCACATAATAAAGAGTTACAAGAGAGGGTGGGGAAGAAAGAGCAAAGTTTGGGATGAGTACTGTGGGGGCTGAGATGGAAAGGAGCCTCTGTGGAGTGAGCGGAGAGGCTCAGGGATTTCCCAAGAGCTGTTCTCGGTTATAAACCGGTTGTCTCTTAATGTCCTTCAAGACATACTAGTGAAAATAAGTATAATTTTACCTCTGATCACTGGACTGTATTTCTTTGACTATGGTTCAGCAGTGAAACTGGGACATATGGACCACCCCCACCCTGCTTTTATGTAAGTTATGTCCATGTATATAGACAGAATGAAGTTAAATATATATACCTGATAGAAGTGGGAAATAATTTAACATATGCAAAAAACTACACATTTATCTATGCATATGCATATAACCTGTATGTAAAAATAAATTTAGACTCAGATGTTTTGAGTCCAACAATCTCAAAAAGCCTTTGGCTAAATTAACAAGATATGTAGACAGCACATTTAAAGAGCTTGGGAACATTTTTCTTTTTTTTAAAGATTTTATTTATTTATTTGACAGAGAGAGACACATTGAGAGAGGGAACACAAGCAGGGGGAGTGAGAGAGGGAGAAGCAGGCTTCCCGTGGAGCAGGGAGCGCGATGCGGGGCTCGATCCCAGGACCCTGGGATCTTGACCTGAGCTGAAGGCAGACGCTTAACAACTGAGCCACCCAAGAGCTTGGGAACAGTTTTCTTTTTTTTTTTTTTTTTTTTAGATTTTATTTATTTATTCATGAGAGACAGAGGGAGAGAGAGAGAGGGAGAGAGAGAGAGAAGCAGAGGGAGAAGCAGGCTCCCAAGGAGCAGGGAGCCCGATGCGGGACTCGATCCCAGGACCCTGGGATCATGACCTGAGCCGAAGGCAGACGCCCAACCATCTGAGCCACCCAGGTGCCCGGGAACGTTTTTCAATAGTCTATTTTTCTTCCTTCCTTCCCTTTCTTTTTCTCTCTTTTCCTTCCTTCCTTCTTCCTTTCTCTTCCTTCCTTCCTCCCTCTCCCTTTCTTTTAAAGCCCAACAAACTTAGGTTCAAATCCCAGCTCTTCCATTTAATGAATGACTTTGATCAAGACCCTTCATCTCCTTAGACCCCAGATTTCTTACAGTGAACTGGAGCAGACTCCCACCTCAAGGACTACAGTGACTGAGATGCTGGACACACAGGGGTGAGCATAACGTTAATTCACAAGAAGCCAACCAATACCAACAACTTTAAGTCAGTTAACTATGCAATCTTAAATGAGAATGGAAAACACTATACCCCACAATCTGGTTAGGTTGCTTGTTTTTTTTTCCCCTTTTCTAAATACAGTTTCCTCCTTCAAGAATAAAACCTCAACTTTCCCCCCTAATACTTTGGGAATTACTGAAAGTTATTATGGCAACAAAACTAGGTCCTTGTTTGCTGAAAAGCATGTAATTGCCTCAGTGTTGCCACAGATCTATTTAGTTGATGCTCTACAAAAAACCCTGCTCTTAAGGGCCAAACAGATGGAATGATAAAAGGCATTCTTTGCAATTCCAGCTGAGGCTCTCTCCCTGGGGCAAACCTCCTCTCCACAAGTTGGGACAGTAACTACCCACCAATCTCGACTGTTCATCCTGCTATAAAGGGAGTACCTTGTCGGTGAGCACCTGTGTAAGAGCAGCTACAAAATGATGGTGTGGCCATGACAGCAATTTCCTAAAAGATCCTTGATTCAGCAACTTACTAAAAGATCCTTGATTCAGAATCCTTGGTTTTGTTTTGTCTTTAGTTAAAGTAGTAGTTGAGGACTAAAACAAATTTTATCCATAAATGGGAATGGAAAACTTCCAGGAAGATAGAATCAGCCATATAACCAGGTTTGGAGAAGTACTTAGGGGATCTGATTTTATTTTGTGGTGGTTTTTCCCTAAGTGGAAACACATAAAGAATAAGACCTATGTGAAGTATACTCGAAAAGTTCGGTATTAAATCTCAAAATTTTTACCAAACCAGGTTCAACCAGTTCTTTAGAGGTGGCAGGCACTTTCATTCATTCAATAACTAATTATTCAGCACCTGCTGGGTGGTGGGCAATAAGCTAGGTCCTGGTGGAAGAAGAGTAATAAGACAACAGGGCTCTGGCCCGCATGACACTGACATCCCCGTAATCAGGAAAGACAGTCAACTAATAAGCAAATACATGGGACAAAAGAAAATGTAGATAAAAGTTTTGACACTGCAAGAAAGTGGAGTGTGTAGGATTATAACGGAAAATAACAGGATTTCTACCTATACAGGTGACCAAGGAGGCTTCTGCAAGAGGGGGACCTTCAGGCTGGGATCTGAAGAATGACGGTTTTATGAAGAAGTGGGAGGTGGGGGTAAGGGGCAGAATTCCAGGCAGAAAGGCAGAAAATACAAAGATCTTGAGGCAGGAATGAAATTGGTGTGCCTTAGGACTTGAGAAAAGGCCAGTGTGACCAGCTGCTCAGAGGCTGGGTCATATGAAGCATAAAGTTTGAGTTCATTTTAAAATCAAGAGGAAGCTTTCAAGGGGTAACAGGAGAGAAGAGAGAACTAAAGAAGTATGGAAAAGAATCAAAGTGCAAGCAGGAGACCAGCTAAGAGGCCATGTCAATAATCCAGGCAAGAAATGGTAGCGGTTTGGCCTGGGGCGGTGGCCCTGGAGAGACAAAAATCTTGCCTATTTTAGAGGTAGAACTGGTAGAACTTTCTGATAGATTAGAAGTGACATGAATCCAGGACAAATCCCAGATTTGTGGCTTGAAAAAAAAATGAGTGGATGGTGGTGGCATTTTCAGGGAAGACTGGTAGAAGAATAAATTCTGAAGGAGTAATCGGAAATGCACTTTTGGAAATGTTAACTTTGAGATGCCTGTGTGACACCTCACTACCCATCTATGGTTCTCTCTGTGGGCAAATTAAACCTTTAAAAGATGAAGGACAACACTAGCCCTTCTATTTCTTCAGGTTGTCATCAGCCAGTGCTTGTATTTATTAAGATATTTATGAAAAGTGAAAAAGGTTTTTAAATTGAGTTCATACTTATACTAAATTGGGAATTTTCACTAATAAACTGACTGCCTAAAGGTGAACTTGGGCTGATGTACTGAGGACTTGTTTCCTGGGCATTTTGAAGAATACAAGCCTGAGATGTTGTTTCGGAAGGAAGAAGGAAGGAAGGAAGGAAGGAAGGAAGGAAGGAAGGAAGGAAGGAAGGAAGGAAGGAAG